TGCGGCATCACTTACGGCCACAGGGTAAAAAGTCCAGCCTGGAAGTTGTTCTTGGTTGTCTGAGGATCCAAGCAGAGGTGCAGGGATATGTAGCCAGGGTGGAAGCAGCTGCCATCTGCGTGGAGGGGCGGCACAGCCTCAGCGGTGTCCCTGGATGCAGATCCATGCCTCCTCACGTGGTGCATGGAGGAGAAAAGTCTAGAAAGAGAAACATGAATTTTAGTAAGTGAGAAGCCTGAGCCATTCCCAGCAAAAATACCTTGTAAAAGTGAGACATGTTAGAAATCCCACAATGGAAAGCAACTCAATTCCCTGATGGTGGACAGCAGTGTAGAACCTCACTGCACGGGTGCTGGTGAATCAGGCCTGTTCATAGGAGCTGCCACACAGTCAACACTGAAAATGTAGTTGACATGAGCATGGTAGATTTTTGCACTGCTGTGTCCATGCTATCTCTAACCTGTTCATTGTCTTCCCAGAGCTCCCTGGAGGTGCCGAACACTTTCTTGCACAACAGCTCTTCATAACTCTCTGCTCAGCACATACATTCCCACTGAAAGCCTCAGTTCAGGGTTGGCTTATATCCCCATCACTTCACATCTCTTCTTACGCTGCATCCTGTCTCTCCTCATTCGATTTCTTCTCATGTGCAGAAAACAGACTCTCAGCCATGTTAAGTGGTCCCTGTTACAAAGACTGCTGACAGCCCTTTTGCTTTTCTGTTCAGGACGCTCTGGGAGGATCTCCTCTGCAAGGGCTGCGGAGAGACGTCTGCAGGGAGAGGATACCCTTTTTGGACGTACTGCTTGGGGCAAGGCTTACGCTACGGGCTTTTCGGCAAGACAGGTTTTACTCAGAGGAGCAAGGACACCACTGAGGGAGAGGAATGGAGCGACTGGCCTCCTTCAGTAGTAAGTACCATAAGATGACATTTGGAAAGTGTTTGCCATTGTTTAAAGACATTAGCAGCCATCTGGGGGAGGGAGGCAGAAAACTAGCAGTATTTGGTCCACAGGGTCACTTCTTTGATCAAATTCTCAAGAGCACAAGTACATGAATGATTCAGTGGGAATTTGGGTCTTTTTTTTAATTGACTTTTTATAGTTTGGCTAGTTCAAATCCATTTTCTTGGAAAAAATGTGGCTTATAACTTCACAGTCTATTTATTTTGACTACTTTGCAATGAACAAAATAAGAACTTGCAGAGCAGTGTTTCATTCCTTGTTCAGCAATCTGAGCAGAGTCTGAGAACAGAGTCTACAGAACAATCTTGTTGATGCCTTTGCAACCACAGCAATATGCTTTAAAAGTCTGACTTGAGGTAGATGGATGGGAGACTGCAGCTGTCTGTGCAGTATTCTCCACAAATAAGGTTTTGGGTCTGGTCTTCGGTGCAGAACACGAGCATGGGCACTGGATCAAATCAGCCAGCTAGCACAGCTCCTGGCATCACTGCCGAGTTGTACCAGGAGGCTGCTACAGAGAAGATTTTCCTTTAAGTCCATTGCACAAGTTTAGGTTTAGCCGTCGGTGTATCAGGTCTAGCAGGGATGCAGCGCCAACATCTCTCTTGCAACTCTAGCTGAACAAGGAACTTTTAACATATTTGGAGAAGCTGCAGTAGGAAAGACGTTATGTACAGTTGAGTTCACTTAAAATTACTGGGCACAAGTGAATTTAGGTGATTGCAAAACCAGTGCCTTGTTTGTGTTGCATGAGATTTACTTTTGGCTTCACAGATGACCCTTTTGATAAGCCTCCATGCCGAGGTTGCTCTTCATACCTCACAGAGCCCTACGTTAAGTGTGCTGAGTGTGGGCCTCCTCCCTTCCTCCTGTGTTTGCAGGTGAGTGCAAGGATAAAAGCAAAGGCATTAATTTCTTTGAGAAAGTCATCAAAGGCCTGTCCGGGGCCAAGCTGTTCCATAAACACATTAATAACTGGTCTCTGTAAACTTGTATCAACACACTTATTTGCTCAGGGACAGGGAAATGACAAAGAAAATGTTGGAGGCTGAAGAATTGAGGCATGAGTAGCTGAAGGAGATCTTTGTGAAGGCAGCCAAAGCTACCTAAAGACATGCAGTCAGCCTGACTGTGTAACGGAGCATGCCGCTGCATGTCTAGAGAGGTATCGTTTCTGTCATTTTTTATGACACGGAAAAGAAAAGCCATCAAGAAACACCCTTTCCCTGTCACAACACGTTGTTTTTTTTCCCTCCCAAATGGAAAAGAAAGTTTGCAATATTGACAATAATTGTTTGTGACCAGACATAGTTCTTTAAAAATTATGTGTGTGAGCTGATAACCACAGAAAGTACTGCTAGTTTTAATTATTAAATAAATAAGTTTGCATTATTTATGACTAAAAAATGGCAGTAACCTCTAAAACTGAAAAAGGAGCTTAGCCTTGTGCTCAGATATGTACAAAATACACAAAACCATATTTTGTATATTGGGTATATTTTTGTTCATTTACCTGTACTTAAAAAATCAGAAATTTAACTGTTGAAAATATCTGCAAACCATGCTGGTGCTTTTTAAACATAAAACCAAGATTAAAGGGAAACTGTTTTCAATACTTAAGAAATGCTCTGTGCTCTCTTCCTGCAACGATCCATTTTAAAACATACCACTAAGATTCTTTCACCTGCCTAACTTTGCTATAAATACTTAACAAAAAAGTATGTCGATTCACAGGAGTTACGTCTTGGTGCAAAAGACAAGATACAAAGACAGATTTAACACAATTTTACAAAGATTTTTCTAAATTTTATGTTTTTTCTAAAATGAAATCAGAAAAATTGAATATCTTTTTCAGCATATCAGGGGGTCAGTTTTGGATACCCAGTGGACCGAGAATAAAAGGAAAAAAGGGACCAGTTAAAATGTTTTCAGGGCAGAAGTAAGAGACTAACATAATGCTAATTTTTTGTTCTACAGTGTTTCACACGAGGATTTGAATACAAGAAACATCAAAGTGATCATACTTATGAGATAATGGTAACTACTCCTTTTAGATAACACCTACTCAATCTTGAGCTTTCCTAACTTCCCAGGAGTTAGACCTTTGCTTACTAATATTACATTGAAAAGTTAAGTGATACAATTCTTTGATTCAGAGGTTTGGAACTATTAAAAAAAGAAAAAGTCTTCCTGGAGATTGAAGAAAAATATCCACCTGGAACATGATAGCATAGTGGAGACATTTAAAGCTACCTTTTTTTTTTGTGCCTAGATAGCACAATGCATCTCACTAGACTTCCAATTCTTTAATCATGTGAATCAACTTCTGTTTCTCCATTCTTGTTTTTTCTTCCCCAAAATTAATCATTTTAAAGGTCTTCAGTAATTTTTATTGTGTTTCATAGCATAACATAGTTGAATTACAGCTGGTAGGTACAACATGTAACAGTATATCAGAAGATCTGTAGTGACAAACTATTTTTTACTGTAGTTGACGACCCAAGGCCCTAAGTAATTCAACAATTATTTGATCAGGTTTCATGGGACACAGTAAAAGTTTTAAAACTACCAGTATTACATACTATGTTGCCCTGTAGCTTAGAACTTCTTTGCTCTTCATGTGGTGGATTATAACAGAGGATCACAGCAGCTTGATTTGCTTTTATCTTCTCTAGACTTCTGATTTCCCTGTCTTGGATCCTAACTGGACAGCTCAAGAGGAAATGGCACTCCTAGAAGCTGTGATGGACTGTGGGTTTGGAAACTGGTGAGAATTTAGTGGTTCGGCCAACTTCAGTGAATGATGGGTAGTTTTTCCTCTCATTTCACTGGATCTTACCGTTGAATACATCAGTGCACTTTGAATGTTCAGTGACTTATTGCGGGTGAGACACTAATTTAGCAGCTGAAGTGGGAGACTGGGGTAGCAGATTCTGTTTTCAAATCTGCTGTTAGATATATAAGGAAATTGTTAAAGGCTTCTTGTAAGATGCAGGGCACCTCCAGTGAAGTACAAAGTTCCCTCATTTCGCATTAAAGTCACTAGGTTTTGAAGGAGCTTAACTATTGCACAAGATTTTCTGTGCCTCAGTTTACTCCTATGTAACAACCAACTACAGAATTTCTTATGTGGTTTCAGTTTGCTTACAGTTGACTAGCTAGGTATTGTTATTTTTGGAAGTTTCCTGCTTCTCTCTCGTATTTAGGATAGAGCACTGGAAATATTTAATTTTTACTTTATGTTCTGTTAAGTTAATTTCTGTAGTTGCTACAGGATTTTTATGCATTTGTAAATAAAGGAGATCTGTAGTCATGAGTTATGTCTCTTCTCCTTCATGAAAAAATAGCTGTATTAAAAAATAGCTGTATAGAACTCCAGACTTCACTGAAAGAGAACTGTGAGTTCTTATGTGTACACATTGCTGTCATAATTAAGACTATAAACTGGTTGCGGTTATGTTCTGCAAGTATGCTGTCTTTGTCCTACTTAGCAATACAAGTAATCTTAACTTTTTCCTTAAACACTTGGCTTTTATCAGCCTTTACCAAATAAAGGAAAAACTGATTTCTCTTCCTGGAATCCCTTGCATCCAGTTTTTAGTTTAACAGAAATTAAAATGATTGCTGCTGGTGGATTTTTTTTTTTTTAAGTCCTCAACTTACGCAGCCATTTTATTAAGACAAAATACTTCACGTTTCTAGTCAACCACTTTTCCAAGAAAGTTTGGCAAAGATTTCTAGAATGTCTTTTGTACAACCATTTCGGTGTTTAAAAAAAAACTGTTTGACATCGCTACACGAAAGGGGAAACCACTATCCAGTTAAAATCACAAGAGAAACTTGAGAAGCAGAATGCAATTCCGGACTTAGAATTTACCATTACCTGGAGTTAGTAAAATGTATAAAAAGCTCTCAAATAACAATACTAAATTTTCAAACATATAAAAGATTTGGTACATTCCATCAGCCAAGGAGTTTCTCATGTAAAGACAGTGAATTGCATTGCTCATGACCACCAAAAAAGCGCTCCCTAGCACTGTATCAAGCGTGTAAGTATTGGCTCGGTGTTAGTACGCAAAATCTGAATTCAGACATCATCACAGATCGGTTCTCTGCACACAATACGATCAATCTCTTGTCCAAAGTTATCTTTTCCCACTAGAGAAAGAAAAAAAACCCTCAATATTTCTGTGTTCTTCATATTAAGCCTCCCCTTCTCCCCACTTCAGGCAGGACGTAGCCAACCAGATGTGTACAAAATCCAAGGAGGAGTGTGAGAAACATTATATGAAACACTTCATCAACAATCCCTTGTTTGCATCTACATTACTGAACCTGAAGCAGGCAGAGGCGGCGCAACACAACAAAACAGCCATTCCTTTCCACCGTGAGTATCCCCTGCCCACTAGCATACACAGGGAGCTTCCCCACAAAGTCTCTGCTCTTCCAAAACTGGAATGAGCAGCCTTTGGAGAAAGGCATGCACCACACATGCAATTTGCTTTCATTCCCAAAAGGAGAGCTTGTTCTGATGGCTAACTTGAATAATGTTAGTAGTAGGGTTTTCTTTACACTGTATTAAATCATTGGTGTATCAAATAAACAAGACTGCCAGTTCAGTGGAAAAAGGCAGGGAACGGAGTGGTCTGATACAAAACATCAGGTTCTCAAAACCAGAAGTTCCTACACAGCCGGTGGAAATGGTCACTCACAGAAATCGCCACAGCAAAAGCCTGGATGTGCATATTCATTTAAAGGACACACTACCTCAAAGCTACTTCACGTGTGGCACGATATAACAGCGTGTCCTTCGTGGTAAATACCAGCGTGAGTTCTCCCCCTGGTGCTGGGGTGGTTACTTTTCTTGTCCAGACCCTGCGTAGCAATGTTAACTGAGAAGGGGTTTCTACCTTTAAAACATTTCATCTGATTACCCACTGTGTAGTGGGCTTAACTGCTGATGTGATTTGTCATAAAATCACTCCCTTTAAACTATGTTGATTTTACACCTCTCTTTAAAAATTCCTCTTAAAAAGTGTATGTTAAATTTCAGCAATGTAACAAATTTTCAGTTTTCTTTAAATTTAACATTTTTAGAATTCCCCCAGTCTAGCGTCTGTTCCATTATAAAGCTCCCCAGAATGGCTGGGTAAAAAAGATTGCTTGGTATCTGGAGATTTAAATTTCACAGTAAAGTGTTTAGAGCTAAAGCAGTAGGAACTGGACAATTTTGGTTCTGTCCCTGGCTGTCATTGATTTTTTTAATGTGACCTGGGCCAAGACAAATTCTGTGTGCCTCAGCTTGTTTTATCTGTAGCATGGGACTTACAATGCTTAGCTCCTTCACAAGTGTGTTGTGAGCCTCGGTCCATTATTGTCTGTAAAACACTGAGCTCCTCAGCTGGGAAGCACTGTGAAAATTCAGAGTTGTATAGCTTTAATTGCAGCTCTCCGTAAATGGCACCCAGAAGATGCCAGATTTAACACCCCTGATGCTATTAACTAAAAGAACCTGCACGCTGAGACCGAGTGATCTGCAGAGATTTACCGGGGGGGATGCTGAGCTCTGAAATGTGGAGTTTACATTTTATAACCTATTTATTACCTTGAATTTATGTGTTTGACTTTTGAGAATACTATGAAGATCTCAGATTACGGCATTTTTCTCTGGATGAACTCAGTCTTTTTCTGAATAAAAGCCCAATCAGGGTGTTTTTCTTCAACTAATTATTCCCACTTTTCCTGCAAAAGAAACACCTATTTGCAGATCATTTTGTGTTAAAAAAAGCCCTACACAGCAACTAAAACCCTTTATTTTTTCAGCTGCTGATGATCCCCCACGGCCTACTTTTGATTCCTTGCTCTCCAGGGATATGGCTGGGTACATGCCAGCGAGAGCTGACTTTGTTGAGGTAAGACTCTCTCTTCTCCCATTATTTTAAATTTGCTACTGAATGCAAGATCAGCAAACACACGTTTGCCCCTGCCTATAGGTCTTTACTCTTCATATAAAAAACATTAGAAGAGCGGACAGGACAGAGTGATTAAACCAAGGATTTAATTACAGAGGTGGCGCTGCAAGCCTACAAAGCTGCTAGCAGGCAATCTGAGTCACTGGCTTTGTGTGTACGGGCTGTAAGGCATGCTGCTACCACCAGATGTCCAGTAATGAATGGCTCTTATGTAAGCGGACTAGATGTTGTGAATTAGATGCTTAGCAAAAGGGGTCAGCTTCAGCATGCTTCTATTTCATTTGCCTTAGAGAAGCACATATGAACCTGATCCAAAGATCACTTGAAAGACCTGCATTGTTTTCCGTGTTTTTAGCTGTGGGCGCAGGGCCCCAATTCCTGTTGCAAAACAAGCTCCTGTACATGAAGTAATGAATTCAGCCATATAGGGGCTCGTTGTTTTCGTACATTTGAGCAGAATTTCCACCACAGTGTGGGAGTCATGGAGATTACCTGATTAGTTCTCATTATCCTATCACAGCATCCTGTTCCAGTTCCAGCCATGGGGGTGCATATTATACATTCTCTAGTTAAAGCTCCCCTGCGATGTATGTTACTCAAGGATGGAACCTTGTACAACTGTGTATGAGTAAATATCTCTGTTTTCAGTACTTCTACATGTACTGAAACCTGATACCAAGTTTTTTGTGCTAGTTAGTGACAATTTATTAATCACCTCTGAACAGGAGTTTGACAACTATGCTGAATGGGATTTGAGAGATATTGATTTTGTAGAAGATGATTCAGACATTTTGCATGGTAAGTCCCATATTTTTGTGCATTGTCTGAAAACAATGTTTCAGAGTGCCTACAGAGCATTTCATTGGGTCTCTTTTTCTCTACACACTTTTTTAAAAGTGAACGTACATTTTTAATGATTTCACTTCTGTATGCTGGGATTTAAACACTGGCATTTCTACAGTCCTCACTTTCAAATCTCTTTTAAAAGCTCTTAATCAACTGACATATAAATGGTACTTATATAGAGAATAATGCACTTTACTCACTACTGAAATGTAGCCAGTTGTAAAGTAGAACATGACTGAAATCGAATAGTCTCCACCAGTAGTAGGCATCTCTTTAGGAAAGACACAAATTATGTTTTATTCAGTATAAACTCTACAGAAAGTTTAGCTAAGTAGAAGCAAATTATCTGAGATAGCAATTTGTCTGGAAACAGGTAGCAGTACATCAGTGTTTGAATAAACAGACCTACAGGCCTGTTAAAAACCAGAAACATCAGTGCCTTGATATTACTTCCCCTCCCCGACTGAAAGATATTCTTTCCATCTACATAATGTTTGTGACCATCAAAGCAAGGCACAACTTTTGTTCTGATTTAGAAGGAGGAACATTTTCTTCTCTGTTGCTAATACCCCTTTCGCCTACTATGTCTCGTTTCTTAGAAGATCTGTCACTTATTCTAACCTCTGTTAGTTTAGGAAATCTGATATCAGGATAGTTATTAATACAGGCAGCAAGGAGGTATGTAGCTTAAGACTATGTGCAACACATTGAAACTGTTCTACTCTTGAAGTTGTGCGGTTTTTCATGCATTAAACATGCACGCTGAGTTATAATAGCATTCGCTGTATGTGACAACTTGCTTTTTTATTGTGAAGAGGATGGTTGTTGTATGAGTCCAATTACTGCTACTGAGTTTCTGTGAATGTAGCTGCCTTAATAATACCAAATAAAGGAAGTATTAAAATGACATTTTGATCCGTAGAGAAGAAAAGATCATACTTTTCCGCACATTTATAAGTACATATAGTGTTTAAAAGTACTCTGTTTATGCTTCAGAATTCTCCCATCTATGTCAGGCAGTTCTAAGCTAAAGCCTTAGCATCCCTTGGAGACAGACAAATCCTGTTACGTACAGACAGTCGTTCCAAACTTGAAATTTAGCAGTGTACACAGAGCTTTAAGGAATGCAAACTCCCTTGGCTCAAAAAAGGTTATGAGAATCATATGTCAGTCTCTCTTCCCTTTTAATGTTTATTGAAAGGGGGACTGGCTTGTGGACATGTCACAGATTCATCATGCCATCTCTCTACTGTTCCTTTTTATTACTATTAAAAGACATATTTTCTGGCTTCCATGTCCTATTCTGAGTCCTGGTAAACTGAAAAAGCAAAATAATCTCCTAGATCTGTTCATTAATTGATAGCTTAATATTCATTCAAGCAGGTTTACCAGCACTGTCTTCCATACCCCTCACACCTGTCTTCCTCCCACTGCACAGTTCAGCCATTTAAGATATCTCCTACCAGCCTCCTGTTTAAGTTGTCAATCTGAATGGAAAAATCAGCTTTGCTCATCTCTTCAGAATATCATAAAGCTGTGCAGGGCCAGACCCTTTGGTCTGTCTAGCTCAGTGTCCTGTTAGTACCCCATAGCAGACATACAGGAGAAGAATGTAAAAAAAGGCAAGTATAGGCAGATACTTTTCCTGGCATATCTTCCACGTTTCCTGCAGTGATAAGTTTAGAGACTTCTTGAGCCATAGGTTGTGTTCAGACCATTTTAACCAAAGGACCTGTCCTCCATGAACTTAGTTAACTACTGTTAGAACTACATATATTTGTACTTTTGCCCCTATAACATCCTGTAGCAGTGAGTTCCACAATTGAGTTAGGAGTTCGACAATTTAATTGTGTGTTGTGTGAAAAAATACTTCCTTCTGTCTGTCAAATCATTTGCCTGATAATTTCATTGGATGTTCTCTAGTCCATTCTTCAGTTGTCTTCACTATTTAGTACGGGATGTCAGGCATTTGCCCTGTGAAAACTGTTTGGCAGAAGTTATGGAGCGTGACCAACTACATTTTCGATCTCAGCTCAGGAACTCTGGCATCTTCCTTCCCACAGCTGTCCTAGATTTGCCCACGTGAGAGAGAATGCCTCTGAAAAATGAAGTCCCAGGGTCTAGCCAGCTGTTTTTCTTTTACATGAGGCATCTTGGGGAGAGAAACAATTATTTGCTAAAAAACTTTGGAATTAGATCTTTCCCTTCTCCAAGTTAATACAAAAAAGGAAGGAGCCACATCCTCCCTGTCCTGCAGTTTTAAAGATCTCAGATGCTGACTTTTTGATTGCTTGAGAATATTTTGCAACCTAATTGTAGGATTTCATACTGTAGAAAATGGCTCAACACTTGGATCTGAAGGCAGGGACAGGCATTTGGATGATTTAAGAAACCTTTGTACTTTCTAGTTAACAGGGAGAGAAGGTTGTGAGGCAGCGCTGGAGGCCCAGGTTCTCATAATCTCTCCCAAGGGTGCCTGCTGTCTCACTACTTCCAGGCAGCGGCTCTAACGTGCCTCTCCACCCCAGCCCGGCCCGCTGGCAAACTTCTTACGCTAGATCTTACAGAAACGTCCTTGAAAAGCAGCCCTGTGGCTGTCTTCCACACCTGCTCGAGACAAATTTTTGCTGGCCAAACAGCAAACTGGCGTTTTGCAGCATAGATTAAGTATCAGGTTTGTGAAAGAATCCTGAGTTTGTTTTCCTGCCGTACATAAACCTCACTGGGTTCAAGATTAATTTTTGAAAACTACTTTTATATTCCATTTTCTGAAAGTTACTCAAGCTAAACCCTGAGAACACACCAACCAGAATAATTTCTGTGGTCTCTCTTTCTTTCTTTTGTTTCACAAGTCACAGATCAGCGCTGCAATGTCTAGGTTGCACATGACACGGGAATATTTGATGCTTTCATTGGAGCGGAATTCCCCGTTCTTCCCTTTCCTTCACATTGCTCTGCTTTTCTTAAAATTTTGTAAAAATCATTTTATAAAAAGTTCTAGATGCAAGCTGCTTGACCTCTGTTTCCTGATATCATTGCATTTTCTCTGTTATATTTTCCTGTGTCATTCTAAACAAGTACTCAGTATTCTCAAAAGAAAGAAGAGTGTGATTTAATACAAGGTGGAAAGACTCCCAGGCAGCCTCTTATGAGGAACACAGAAACCTGTGCCTGCTGACTCTCCAGCTCCTCCAACCACACAGGAGGTCACAGGCATTGTTCAGTCCCTTTTTGATATTAGTGAGATGGTAGAAACTGTATGAAATCTCATATTCCAATTAACTTTTTGAACTGTTAACTTTTATTCTGTACTTGCAATATAATAAGTGCATGCAAATATATATTGCAGTTAAACAAAAACATAATGGACAGATCAAAAGCAACAACTAGTTACAAATCTAATTCAGCCCAGAGTGCTTGAATATTTCATGACTTACAAGTTTTCATCAGACTGAATTATAACCTTAGTAATTTATCTTTTCCCCGCTTTTTCTCCCCTTTCCATGTAAATTATTTTTACTTCTAACACTGGAAAGTAATTGCTGAAACCGCAAGTTTAGAAGTGAGTGGAAATAGACTGCAACTCTGGCTGTACAGTAGTGAAATTTCATTTTATAAGATACAAGGCAGTCAGTGTCCTTCTAAATATTACGTGATGTTTATTCTTTTGTGGAAGTTCCTGACATGCTCTGAAGGCAGATACTCTGTTTGCCTACGGTCCTGCTTTCCTCTAGGGAGGGTGAATTTGGATTGTAGCCATTGAGTTTGTACCAACCAAGGCACACACTGGATACACAGCCTGTTTACTTTGATTAGTTTGCATTCTTCCCATTATTTGGGCCTTGCATGCCAAACAGAGGTTAGCTAGCATGAAACAAAGGTCTCACTCATTAGCGTTCAAAAAAGTTTTTGCAGACCAAATGAGGCTGAAGAGGAATGAAAAGCGAAGAAACTGTTTTGGACATGCTTTTGAGAAACCAAAATATTTTGATTTTTTGGAATGAAGAAAGGAGCCTTGAATTTCTGCCTATCACTGGATCCTTCAAAGCTACTCTGACCATCTCAAAGAACCTTATCATTTCTCAAAATGGACACTTTGAACACGGTGTCAGCTTGGATTATCTTGAATTACCAGTACAAACAACTGCCTCCCTAGTATAATCCATGGGGAAAAGCACAGGCAAATCATTTTCATTCGTACAGCATCTCTTTTCTCATTTCAATGCAGCATGTAACAGTATAGTAGTCTGAGTTATTCATGCATTCCAGATTTTGTAATCGGCTGTTCCTGTGTGAATATGTCTATTAAAAACAAAAGCCCCTCCAAAACTGCATGTGGCAGCAAATACTAATTTTTCTGTAAGCAGAAGCTCCATTTTTTTCCTTCATTTGTTCTCATGAATGTTCCTTCCCCTCCCCAGTTGATCATAATTTCTTTCAGAATATTGTGCACTAAGGTGAAAGCATCAAAATGCAATGGTTATAGGTGCATAATTACTTGTGATATTTATAGAGGTTCTCCAATGCAATTTCTGCATGTACTTATTAAGTTCTGCCCACACAAACCCCGGAAAATAACATGTTAGCTTAGCTTGCAGAGGGTTTAAAAATATAAAAATATTTTCCATAAATTGGCACCGATTCCAACACTTAGTAATATATTTCATTCATGTTTAACTTGCTGCATTTCCAATTTCTTATCCCCACATTTAAGCAAGAAGGAGAATTTGCTACCTGTGCTTGTTCTTAAATTAGGAAACTTAAATACCTGTTTATGAAAATACATGGTGATTCGTGAACACTCTGGTTTTGCAAGAAATTTGCAAAAAGAAGTAAGAATATTGTACCATCCCTCGTATCTTCATGTTATCTTTTGCTCCTAGATTAACATCAAATCAGTTTTGTATAAATTGAAGGGTTTTTTGCTAATACAAGATCAGCAAGTGTAACTCAAAACTGTCGGCTCCTGAGCTAATATGCACAGCCTTTGGGCTTTAGCTGTCCCTGTTTATAAGAAATTTTATTACCCAGAGGACTGCACAGATGAATTGCCTAGAGGCTAGGGGCTTCCTGGTGTTTACATATAAATACATATTTTAAAATAGACGCATAACCACACTTCTTTCTTAATTGCATTATTAATTATTTGTTGGAGAATGCAATCAATAAACTGCCAGGATCCTGTCACACTTGGGCCACCCCTGTTTAGACAGCACAGTGGGCTGAAAGGGGACGTGCTCTTGCTTAGTTTCAAAGAGCTGCGTGTTGTCTCTACAGACTGTAAACCCACTGTCAAGTCTTAAGCCTCTTCCTTCTGAGAGCATATTGAAATGATTAACATAAAGGAAAAAAAGCCAACCAAGAAATTGGCCAACTCTACGCTTATGGAATGACATAGAATTTTTGCATTATTTAACAAAATGAAGGAAGGGAAGGTGATAGGTGTCTCCATGTATTTTCTTTCAAAAAATTTACCAAAAAAGTTTATTAACCTAATGGTTACAGGAAAAAGAAGCTGAAGGATGTCCGAGTGGATCAGCCAGCCTGCAGACAGATTTGATTTTGAAAAGGATATAATTTCTTATGAGCATGGCTTTTTCCTGTGCTGCTTCACATTGTCGTGAACACAGATAAGTTTAGAAGTTAACAAGCTAAAATCTTTTAGATGTTTTTAAGAACTGTAGCAAAGGCTACTTTGAATCGTCACAGTTCGTGTGTCTTTCTATTTTTTGGAGTTCCTTGTGCAAAGAAGCCTTTGTACAAAGATGATACCTCAGATTCTTAAATCTGATAAATTTGCTTTTCAGGAGAAGGAATACTTAACAATTGCATGTATGAAGGAACAAATAAGTGCTAATAGTAAAACAGTCCAAGAAGGAAGAGTTGAAAAGAGTTCTCAGGATCTACCCAGGTTCATATTTACAGGCAGTAATATATTGGGAAGGATTAAGCAAAAGAAAGCTTCCACAGGTAGCATGTATAGTCTGCAGAAGGTTAGCCTCTAGAGAGCTTATGCCCCTGTAAAATTGCCACAGGATTTTAAAACAGCAAAGTACAGTGACCATTTCAGCCTACCATGAATATAAAGGCTTGAAAATTAGCCTAATACAGTGATTACGTACGTATTCTGTAATCTTTTTTTATTATTATTATTTTGCAGCTCTGAAGATTGCAGTTGTAGATATCTATCATTCCAGGTTAAAGGAAAGACAGAGAAGAAAAAAGTGAGTTTTCAAGCATTAACTGTGTTCCTTTGCTTCATTGCCATGTTTTGGTCCCCCGGGTTGTCCTAATACTAAACATAATTGATTTCTTATAGCATCCTTCCAGACAATTCCCATGCATGGAGGTCTTCTGCTATGAGATTTGCATGACAGGCTTCATCTCGGATGTGTGGTTCTCCTTCTGTGCACAGATTAAGATCAGGCACATGGCTTTAGCAATGGTACCAGCCCAGAAAACATGGATTAACAGACCCTGATGCTTATTTGTACACGTGGTTGACAAAGGACCTCTACACACCATAACCTTCCTTTAAACTCTAAAAACAAGTCATTAATTGCGAAAGGCCTCGTTTCCAGTCTTTTTTAGTGCATGAAAGTCATGTACGTAGCGCTCTTCATATTACTATCCCAAATCCAGTTATACATAACTAGCTAAGCTTCTAGCACACCTTATGAGATCACATAGCCATTTTGCAGAATGAGAAACTGAAATACTATCTGGGAAACCAGTCACAGATCCAGGACTAGGAACCAGAAAAAAGAGGCAAGTCACTGTTCTTTTTGTTCCCTATGTAATGCTGATGGACTGCACATAATTCATTTTCTACTTTAGGGAAAAAAAAAAGCTGCCAGTCTGTGACTAATTGCTAGACCCCCACTTTCTCCACAGAAATGTTTGCATCATTATTTTTAATTCTTAGTGGTCCATAAGTTAGTTTTCGACAATGTGTAATGAAGATAACTATATTGCTGACGTGAGTTTGAATAATTTATTCGGTTCGTTTGACAGCTTTTTAGAATGACTCAATCTATTCATTAAATTCAATTTTATTATAACTTTCAAATACTTTGTTCAATATTTAAAATTATATCTTGCTGTATTACTCCCTGCTGGAAGAATTAGTAATTTGGAGTAAGATTTCTCCATTCCTTCTTCTCATAATACGGCATAGTTCTGCTGAATGACAGGTAAGAGTTGATATGTATTGACCTGGTTCTTTATAATTCATAAATAAAAAATATGTAGTATAAATTCCATTATGATAAATCATGTCATACTAAAAGAAAGTGCCATAAGGCTCAGTTACATAACTCAAATCGGTGTCAGTTTTTGTAAAGTTTCTACAGCAGGGTGGGACAAAAGTCTGGAAAATGACATAAAAATGCTGATGTCGCTCTCAGAAAGGGTTCTCTACATGGGACAGGAGTATTCTTTTATACATACTAAAGAAAATGTAATGGATTTTATACAGCAAATTCCAACCTGACCTTGACGAGCCCAACTTTGTAGTATCTCTTATCATTTGCAAAAGTCAGGTGTTTATCGAATCGCCACATAGCAATGACTGCATGACATTTGCTGAAACCTGTGACAAATGTATTTGTTATGCACTTGTAAATATCTTACCTGCCTTTTTACTCTGCTCATTTCCCTGATCCTGTCAGGAGCATTTCAAACTTATGAGTTACCTAAATCATTTTCCTCTTTTGAAAATCTAAGCTGTCATGGAAAAATTCCTTCATCCTGCTCCCAGTGGTGAAATTTACAGTCCATCTCTCACCCTTGCTCTAGTAGAAGGACATTTGTCTCTCTCTGAAGCTGGAAATCATGCTTCATGAGACATTCCTTTACCTCCAATTTTGGAAGGACAAGTTATAAGACACTGTAGATGCAAAATCTGTGCCTAAAGAAGCAATTTCAAATCTTTAAAGCAATTGTAGCTCCCTTTGTGCTTAGTGCTGTCAGAGTTGAACTAACGCACACCGCTATCCAAAATTCACCCTGATTAAAGCCGCGCTGCATCACTACATCACGTTTCTCAGCTAGCCAGCTCAAGGGTTATGGAAATTTCATACGTGGTTTAGTTTTAGATCCCTCTGATGGTCTAATTCAAAGTTTCTTCTGAAGCCTTTGTATTTATGCGGTAATGCACGAGTTAACGCCTTTTATTAATACCATTTTGCTCTCAATTACAGAATTATAAGAGATCATGGCCTAATCAACCTCAGAAAATTTCAGAGTGAGTACCAGATGTGACTGCTTAACTTTAAAGTGGCCTCTACTCGGGAAGCAAAACTTTGCATGTTCACCAATGTGGTTTATTCATACGGGACCATATTCAGATGGTCTGAATTCCAGCAGATTTCCTGCCCCGACTGTTTCCAACCGGCTGGCTCTAACTAATCCCAGCTCAGTGTTTTAGTTATTGCCTCAGAATTGCTCTTCAGAAGCATTTTGGGCTCCACTGAGTAGGGAGTGGGTTGAAGGTGAAATCTAGGCCTTTTAAGTGCATCTCACTATTCTATAAAATGATCAAACAACATCATAAATATCATTCTTTATGCTTCTAGAATTTTAAGCTCTGTATAATTTTGTTGCTTTTTACTCAGCAATTTGTAGTTGTGACACCAAAATGGCCAAGAAGTGTACCAAATCTGGATCTTTGGGCAGTTCAGAGGCTGGTAGTCACTGGCAGTCACTTCAGGTTCCACTGAATTTATTTTCTTCTCACAGTAGGAGTGATACGGTGTGTCACTTTTTTCCCCCTCTAGTTTTGGAAAGGCGATATCCAAAGGAGGTTCAAGACCTTTATGAAACAATGCGACGATTTGCACGAATTCTTGGACCGGTAGAGCATGATAAGTTCATTGAAAGCCATGCATGTAAGTATTTTGAGGATTTTCAATATGCATAATGAGGGGTTGCATCATCTACAATCTTTTCTAAATACATACCACCCCTGGAGGGCAGGAGGTTGTTTTTCTCTTCCTCTCCCATCTAACTACCTCAGAAAAACAAATACATTTGTGGTTTGATACATTAAATGAGCAGCAAGTGTTTTTTTCCACTAAACTGTGTCTGAGTTCTTTGTTTGATTTTGCAGTTGACTGAACATTCTGGTCATGTGTTAGAAGTAGTATTTTCTTATCAAAAGACTACTATTCATTTTCTGGGACTCTATATCACTGAAAGAGCAAAATCCCTAAAATTTATGTCTGTATTGAGAGATCGGGAGCTGGCAGCAAATTGTGAATTCTTTGAAAGATACATGTTAAACTATTATATGTGTACATAATTATATAGTACAGCTGTCATTATGTCCCTTACCTTAAAGGGAGAGGCATTGTTCCATCACCAAATCATCTCGAGTCTTTATGCATAATCATAGCATGCATTTAGTCAAATTCCAGTACGAGTCATTACATCCTGCTTAATTCTGTGACTTAAACTGGGAAAATTGTTGCTCATTAGAAGGAACAAAGCGTTTAAACAGTTGCGACTGTATTTTCAGGACACCCTGTGTGAAATACCAAAAGCATGCTCTTGCAAAATCACAAGTCCCACATGTGAGTGCTAGTCCTAGAACCTAGTTTTGTTGTTGTAGTGACAGCAAAGTCCTCAAGTCAACCTGATAGTCAAGTACAGGCATTATACAGATCTCCTGAGTAGTATGAGTAAACAAATTCGAGACAAGCAAACTTGCTCACCGTAAAACTAAGCAACGCCTGGAAGCCAGCTGATAAAAGCTATAGGCAGTAAATATCTCTGAGCAAAAGAAACATGGGTATTTAATCTTACAGACTGCAGAAAAAGAGTTGTCTGCAAGGAAAAATTTGGGAAGGTCCAGTTATGAAAATCATAGTTCAAAGACAATATTAGATGCTGTAAGGAGCCTGGCTGGAATAGTTTTTCAAACCTGTTGAAATGCCTTCCAGAAATCCTACATTATTGTTATTTGCCTTGTCCAGGGTATGGCAAAGGAACCATCAAAGCATGAAGATAAAATAACTTTTCTGAGCACACAAATGCTAGAAACCAGCCTAAATCTGTGATCAAGGAGTGTTAGGACACCGTGAGTTTGAGATCTGACTTATGCAGAGAGGTTAACCCTGTCTGTGCTCCTGAACATTTCATAGCCAAACTGGGTAGACAAATAAGAAATAGCAATGTTCCTAGTACACACAGTTCACTGCCACTCCCACTGACCCACATTTGTTTTTTGGATTTCCCTTCTGCTTACTCTTGGGGTAAAACAGTGGAATTTGAGCTGCGAAGGGAAATAAAGCGACTACAGGAGTAGGAATCACCAATTTCTGTAGTAAGTACCTGATGCATTATTCAGCCCGTTCCCATTCATCAAGGTGTGGAAGGATGATTTTACAACATTTAGGATGTGTTGAATAAAAAGACACTTACTTTTGAAATGCATTTGCCTGGCTCTTTAACTGAACAAGGCTTTAGCAATAATGTTTCAGTCCAGCTGTGCTTTTTTAAAGCTAGTTTGAGCCATCAGCTTGGAGAATGCGCTGTCTAGCAGAGCTCTGCTTTAGTCACCACTTTGCAAAAGATTCAGAAAAAAAATATATGTCATGGCACAGTGGTCTCCAGTGCTTTATCTCTGAATACTTTCACTGGCTATAAACAAGTGTGATATCTGGAGAGAGGCCCAAGTCCTCCACATAGATGAAATGACCTGTTTTATCATGGAATTGGATCATGGAAGCCTTTTTTGTTTATATTTGGCCTGAAATTAATGGGAGGAGTGGTGCAGGGTGGAATCTAATACCTTCTGGTGCCAAGTAGTTGTCATGAGGGAGAATAGCAGAGACTGGTCCAGAGCTAGAGAACAGTTTCTCACTTATTTCCTACAGTAGAAAAACAACAGTCTGAAAATTTTGACCAAGGCAGCTGGTGAGAATGTGGTATGTGTTTGCCATAGGTGCCAGAACATACGATCACCTTAAGAAGACAAGAGATGAGGAACGCCTAAAGCGCACTATGCTTTCCGAAGTCCTGCAGTACATCCAGGACAGCAGTGCCTGCCAGCAGTGGCTCAGTCGACAAGCTGATATGTACGGTTACAGTAAGACTGTGCATTTTACATACCTATGCTTTAGTCAGGTGCGTCAAACACATTTTTCTGCGTGATAGTAACAAATGCATTCCCAATTTATTACAGTAGACACAGTCTGCAAAATTCAGAAGGGCAAGAAACTGTGGATAACAGCAGTAGTACTTGTTGAAGTGCTGACAAGGAAGTGACTAGTAAGGGCTCAAAATCTCAGTTTTCTGTATTTTGTATTTCAGGAACTTAACTGCTGTTAATAAAGTCATGGAGGGAAATGAGGTCTTTACGGATATTAATGAGGGCACAGATGAAACTTGAAATGTTTCAGATGATTTTAGATGTAGCAGCATTATTAATGCGTAGTCACCCTGCACAAGCACTTTGATTTAAGGAGCAAGCTGCAGTGCAAAGGAAATACATCCTGTGTGCTACATGGTCTGAGAAGATGATTTGGAATTTCCCCAGTCCGTCACCACTGAATTTTTTATTGTATTCCCTGCCCCCCCACCCCTTTTTTGTTGTTGTTTTTAACAGGTTTCAGACATGGTCTTCAATCTGGGAGTGCTAAATGTTTAGAAATCGTATTGATGGCAGATCAGGGCCTGCCTTATGCAAGTTGAATTGTATAATTATTAGAAGTTGGGTAAAAAGTAGTTCCAGGGCCAATATATGCAGTTATTCTTAAAAAAACATGAAGGCAATTTGAAAATTTCCTTTCTTTTCAGTGATTCTGGCCTGAGTCCCACGGTACCAGTTCCTTCAAATTCAGGTAACTGTTAGATGGTGGTCTGTGATAAAAAGCCAGCCATACATCAGTAATACCGTTCTGACAGCCAGTTGGAGAGTGACTCTTTTGCGTCAGTCCTCAAGCCTAATGGTTAAGCACTGGTCAAGTCAACATTACCTCAATCTGCAACTCATTCCACGTGCAAATCCTGTAGGGTTTTTTGCTGAATTTCTAGATTTTTCTGGCTACAGATGGAAAACCCACCCGAAAGCTACATTAACAAGGCAGAAAAGAAAAGAATTTTCACCTGAGAACCAAGCTAATCCAGGTTTTTAATGAAGCTGTATAGCACATACCATAGCAATATGAACCTGACAGAAAGCAGATTTGGGAGGGCAGAACACCAAAAACCAGTTGCCTCAGAAGCGGGCAGTGGTTGCAGCATCAAGCACTCCAGAGTGACAGAATGAGATGATACAGGTTGCCTATGCAACTTCAGTTTTCCTTTTCTATGAATATGCTTTTATATTCCTTAATTCTGTAATCACAAATTATGTTTTTTTCCACTGAGAGGACCCCTACTTCTTTCAGTGCCCAGTAAGGACAGATTCAGGGGTCAGTCAAGGCCCTCATGAACAAGACTTCTATAAAATTACATCTCATTTGTTGAGGTCACAGGGTGGCATGCAATGAATGAGACTAGGATAAATTTTTACTGTAAGGCTGTTAAATGTTGCCAGGGAAAACTGGCTTCTAGCTCTGTCTCTACATCCAGTTTTTATATGGATGCTAATAAACCACTTGACCCACCTAAACTTCTCGGAGGTGGCCACTGAGTCTATGTGGTCTTCCTCATTTCCAAGGCCAGGAGCCTTGGAAATTTGGGTCGGAATACCAAGCAATTAGTCATTGCAGTATGCACTATGTTTTAAACATATTTGGTGATAGCTAAGATTTGGTATTTTGGAGAGAAAATAGCATTGTGTATCTCAGGCTGGACATCCAGAGGCTGTGAAATGGGGACAGTATCCCCTCAGCTGAAGGGCTAGTATGAAGAATGAAATTAATTTTTTGTCAAGTATTCAGTGGCCAATGAAGGAGAAGAGGCCAAGAGAATATGAATTGTTTTGCCTGTGGAACTCAGATAGCATGCAGTGTTTACAACCAGTATCACATGTTGAACAAAACCCAAACAAAATACCATATAGTTGCTAATTAAGCAAATATCCTGCATACTGAGTAAGGCAAGGATACTGCGGAAAAACTGCCACGTGTCTATGTAATTAAAGGCTGCATCATACTGAATATACAATAGGGCAAATTAACGTTGCTTAACTTTACTTCTAGATTTTGAGATCTTGACTTTGCAGCGTTAATATGTTTTCTTTCATGTAGTTTGTGTGTGTGTGTTATTTCCTAGGTTTATAAAAGGGTAAAACCAAATTCTGTCATGTCTCATCACAGCACGCTCGTTCCAGGCTGTAGAAAGAGGAAGCAGTGCTGGGAAATACCTTCCTCTACACCTACCGGAGACTCACTAGTCCGGCTTCTTTCTAGTCCTTCAGTTCTCTCTCCGATCAGGCTCCCCTCACCCAGACAGGTTCCCATCTGTCTCCTACAGACGCACAGGAGAAAGAGATAGAGAGACTCCCCAGTCCCAGAGGTAGGACCGGACAGGGCAGGGTCTGGAGCAGCCACCAGCACAGTCCTTTGGAAAACGGACCTGCAGATTTCCCAGGACCTCATTACTTTGCCAAATTTGGGAAGTCTGTCCTGGGATAAAGAGACCTATCTCTAACAGTGCTAAATATACAACCCACAGCACAGGGGCAATAGACTTTCTAAAAATGTAATAAATAATCCTAGCTTTGTTCTGAGCTGTGGAAGTTAAAAAAAAATACTATTAGGAAAAAAAAAACCCAAACCTGCAAGTAGACAGCCCTCGTGAAAGTTTAAGCTGCACCAGTTAAACTTCAGCAAAGGTATAAACAACAGCGAAAGCGAGAACTATCAGACTACCTTGTAATATTTCTTTCAGTACTGTTTATCATAACAGACGAAAATACATCCACAAACTGCATTTGCTTTACAATACCTGCGTCATATATAAAGGCATTTAAAGAAAACTCCGCTTCATGAAGTTGTCAGTAATGCCAGAGAAATTGGCTGCTGATCACACCAATAAGTAATCTCAGCATCCTTGCGAGGTACCGGTTTCACACCGGCCGGGAGTTAGTCCTGCACGCTGTGCACACCCGCGGCACACCCTCCACGCAGCACTGACCTCCCTGACCCCCGCTGGAAGAGTCGGTTTAGTCGGGAGGTACAGCCCAGCTTAACCATGGTCAGTGCCAATTTGACAGAAAGCCATTGTCTTTCAGTTCCTCCTAAAAGCCAGTGAGCCAGAGTTAACAGCGTAAGAGTCCTCATGCAAGGACTTGACTATGCCAGTTGCAAAATCATACCTTTTATCAAATCAGTGCAGTTTTTGTGTTAAGCCCTGAATAACCCTTTCTATAAACACTTGGATCATACTGGGTTAACATCACGGGGATTTCATTGCCTCTGTGATAACACACCTAAGGAACAGCCACTGCCAAACTGCTCAGAGTTCTTCAGTGTTTTCCTTTCTTGTCTCTGCAGGTAGACGGAGTGCTCCACCACTGAACCTCACAGGTCTCCCAGGGACAGAGAAACTTAACGAGAAGGAGAAGGAGGTGAGGAAAGGAATGAAAAGATAGTCTATATAAAACTTTATCTTCACAGTGCAGGGGTGCTCACACCATCTGTCTGAGGTGCTGTTAATATCACCTCAGCTATATGCCCTGACTACTCTTTCCTGCTCACAAAAATCATTCAGGTTTTCCAGTTGGCTTCTTAATTTCAGTTACTGTACTATACGTACAACATAGCTGCAGCAAATTAGCTTATTTAGCAAAGAAAGGTGGAGTGCGCCAAGGTGCTATTACAACATCCAGAGTATGACATCCTCTCTTCCTCCGTTGTAAGACTGGGATGAGCAGAAGGGTTATTTTTTCTTAATGAATATTGGTTTTAAAGCTGGCAGAGGATTTTGTCAAGGGCTTCACTGGACAGATCACTGAACCTGAATAGTGGAGCTCTTTCTATATTATAGATACCTCACAGCCAAACCTCAACCAGTTATGGTTGGTTTTTCACTGTAACACTAATGTGAACCATGGAGGCAATAACAATGCATTGTCCTTTTCATGTTTTTTCCATATTTCTGCTTTACAGTGCATATACCAAGCTTTTTGTATGCATGTGTGGCTGAGAATGGAATCTGGCTTTCTTTAAGCCATGGGTTGTTAGCACGGCCTGGTGTTGCAGGTTGCAGTCCCATATAGAGTGCTCTTGCACAGTCACCTAAAGCAATCGGAGGCACGGGGAAGGTCAACAGAGCAGACAGAACTGGGACTGCAACCCATGTGGCAACCCCCAGGAGAGGTAAACAAGGCAGCAAGGGGCCTGCCATGTATTTATGGCTCAGTTTCTTCTGCAGCCCAATGCAGCCCTGTCCTCTAATTCAGTGAAAGGCAACACTGGAAAACTATTGAAATAAAAGATTTTTTTTTTTTTTAAATAGAAGTCACAATCTGTCCTTAGATTGTTCACAAGGCAGATTTCGGTGTATGTGACACGCAGATGTATTTCAGACTTTTCCCTCTGTGTGGAAGCTGTTTCCCCTTCACTGGAGATGGCAGCATTGAAAATCAGATCACAGATTCACCATGGAACATGGCATTTCTGGCTCCATTCAGCATATAAATAATTGTGACTAGGACATTAGTGTATATGGGGAATCTGATTTCCTCGTCAGCTGAGACATAAAGTCTGAGTTACTCCGAATTCTGCAATTTCCTATCAATGAGGAACAATCATTAAGCATTTCCTTATTAAAAGGAGGAGACAGCCAGTATCTCCGTTGGGAGCAATACAGTGCACCATCTAGAAGGCGGCTGGTATTTGGAAGCTAAATAGGAGCATTGCAACCTAAGAGCAGAGCACAGGGGCTTTTGAAAGCCGTTCCTTTTACCAAACTTCCAAACACGTAATGCCCTCCCTGCACAGTTTCCATCCTGGACTTCCGGAGGGGGCAGGCGTTGTGTGCATAGCTGCTTTTGTAGAAAGGTATTAAAGACTTAGTCTGCAGGGGATTAATAGACAGATGCCCTCCCTGGCTCTCGTCCAGCATGCTGAATTGCTGGTTGCAAGTCTCTTTGGCATGTGTACTTCCCTTGGTTTGTAAAGAACAACGCCCACACAGGACACACTCATAGTTACGCTCCTGTGAGCCGAGAGCTTGCTTTCATCCTCCTAGTTTATTTTTTAGTCAGGAATGTTTTTGAATGCAGCAGCCAGCAAGCTCCTCCCCTCCCTACCTGTGGATCGAAACAGCTCATAATGCAATTGCTGTATGCCTCCCCCATACAAAAAAAAACACATTTAAAATGTTTTGAGAAAATATTCACAATGTTCCTCCCCCAACAGGGATCGCAGAACAAAAGAGTGTGACAAGTGTTAGTGTTTATTAACTTCACCTTTTGTCTTCCAGCTCTGTCAGATGGTGAGGTTGGTCCCTGGAGCCTATTTAGAATATAAAGCTGCTTTAGTGAACGAGTGTAACAAACAAGGAGGCCTGAGACTAGCGCAGGCTAGAGCACTCATCAAGATCGATGTGAACAAAACCAGGAAAATCTATGACTTCCTTATCAGAGAAGGGTACATCACAAAAGCCTGAGGACAGACATCAGCATTTTGGCTGGAGCAGACAGATGTGGAGAAGCTTTGAAGTCACTGTGGCAGCGCTGCAAGATTTTAACAGTGTTGAATGAAGGACATTTCCTTTTGTTTAAAATCTTTTGGGGGTTTTTTTTTGTAAAAACAAGTAGGGAGCTTTGTTGAATTGTATGAATACTGACATTTCTTTGTCTGGTTTCCTTTTGACTCTGTTGTTTAACACTGTTGTCAGAATTACGCTGCCACGTAGCACTGGAAAGAACCATACCCCATATAAGCTAATCTTAAATGTGAATGGGCATTTATTTCTAACACCTCTTGTAACTAAAAAGAGAATCACGGTACTTTTATTCTGACAGTGACACAGAATAAGGACAGAAGAGCAGCACGTAATGAGAGTCACACTTTGACTTTGTGTGAGTACAGGGGCATAGAAATGCAGTCCCCTCCCTTCTTGTACTCCTTCGTAAAACAGTGTCAGCTTTCAAAGGAGATAGCACACGCCCGAGGGTATAAAAATAGAGCTTGTAGTGGTCCAGTCTTTTTAACTTAATTGTGATAAAGAATGGGAAAGGACATTGCAGGGAAGCTCCTCAACAGTTGTTACTTTTATGTGATATTAGCACATATCACAGCATGAGAGCACTGTACAAACCAATAAGCTTCATCTGCTCGCTACTTGATTTGCGATTGTCAAGTTATACATAATCCCTCAGTTTAAGTCTTCGTTGCTCCAGCTCGTTGGAAAGGCTGGATGTTACAACCAGAGCAGCCTTTCGGAACATAAATAAAAAGACGCTCAGTATCCCGACGTTCTCTCACAAAAGATAACAAGCGAAGGGCACGACAGACCGCCCAGAGCACACACACTCCAGCCCTTCCTGCCCTCCTGCTCGCGGGGCCTTATTCTCTCAGCTTACCGCATTAGCCGCGACATATCCAGCTGACCTACAAAGCAATGATGAGGTGCAGCAAGTTACTAAACACACACACACAAAACACCCTGTCGCATCAGATGATCCATTGTACGGCTTCAGTACAGAACACTTGTATTTGAAAATACAGTTGGATGATGAAGATGGTTCTTTTCAGATGCAGCTTGGCATGGTTTACTAGACAGTAAAGTCTTTATCAAACAGCTTCCATTGCTAACATACAACGCTGAAATAACGTCCCGTAAGTAACCCAACAGCCAAAGCAGGTGGGATGTTGGGTGCTCTCAAGTTTGGGATATCATGTGGAAAAGCCTAACTGAGCTACAGCTATACTAATACCTATTTAAGGTGTTTAGGTTTTGGGGTTTTTTTTCCCCCAAGAGTAATTATCCTGTGTGCCTGAGGTGTCACTGAATGTGAAGTATTTTGTTTGTAATAAAATCAAAATGACTTGAAACAATCTTACATCTGTGTTCCTGACACTGAGTGAGACTGTAAAGGTCATGCAACTGCCTGAATCTATATCCATCAGCTTCTCACCATGAGAGAGAAGAGATAAATCCACAACAGTGGCTGTATAGATGTGACCACTACATTACCTAGAAAATACTACTATTTAAAGAAAAGCAGCAGTAGTAAACTACATGTTGAAAATTAAAGTCTGTAGAAATTGAGACTGTATAGACTGGGAATGCCAAGGGAAGGGACAAAGTAAGCTGCAAATCCTTGGGAATGTTTTTCCCAGTTGTCTTTTAACATTAAACAAACAGCCAAGCTACCTTTCCTCTTGCCCAGTCTCCTGTGCCGTGACTTGCACAAAAAAGCAGTAGGTGAGCCAAATACCCTGGTACCTGCTGTGACCATCCTGAGATCAGCAACATCCCCACCCAGCAAACTTCAGTGACGTTTCTTTGCCCTAAAGGGACCCAAACAGGACCGTAAGCGTGACCTGCTTTGACCACACACAGAACTACCCAAACTGGAGCTGTTGTCAAGCCCTGTGCTTTGGGCAGTGCTAAATAATTTGGCCATCTGGAAAATGTCGGGGAGAAAAGATCTCTGGAAAGGCGAGAACTGCGATCCTTTAACTGGCCAGGAGGGGAACCAGACTTTTCTTTTCCAAGGCAAGCAAGAGTGCGCAAGGCAGTGGGGAAGTGGGGCTGGGCTGTTTCCCTTGAATAGCATCGAAGTACACAAACAACAGGTTTTCCCCTTTCACAGGGCATCTCCCAAGCCGGGAAGGTAACAGTGCCAGGGTCAACGCCTCTTTGCTGCTCCTGATACCTTTAACGGCCAGGCTCTAACGCAATGTACTGTTGTGCCGCAGAAAGCAAGCCAGAAAAGTCACATCAGGAAAAGGCTGCTGGGTTAAAAAACTCCGTCTGTGCCCGTGCCAGGCTCAGGGGTGAGGTGGGGACCAGGGGAGGCACGCGGGGGCCGACCAGTGCCATGGCCATGGCCACGCGCACCCACCGAGACATGACCGACCCGCTGCTGCTTACACCTGCGGCCTGAGGACGGGCGAGCGATCAGCCACCGGGGACACACCGACAGCAGGGTTTGGGTACAAATCTTAACCACTGGTAGCACCGGCTGGGGCCAGACTGGCTGACGGGGGGGAGGCAGGACAGGGACCTCTTCACCCAAGAACTTTCAAACCACTTCCAATCAAATAAAACCCAAAGAACAGACAAGCAAAACCCACCCAAACGGTGCCAGCTGAGACCGAGCCCGTCCGCTCGGAAGCGAGCTCAGCTGCGCTGGTTTTTAAACAGGGCAGGCTTTCTGCAGGAGGTTCCTCCAGGGCACAAGGGCTCAAGCCGACACCGACAGATCCCTGCCCCTTCGGTGACAATCGCTGCTGGCGCTTCCTGCCCTCCACGCTCTCTCGAGCGCCATTAAACAGAGAGGGAAGAGAAGCCAGTGCTCAGGCACAGGGCAGCCCCTCTCCCCATCGCTTTTGTCCCCCTCCTCCCAGCGGGGTGCGCGCTGCTATGGCCCCTCTGAACCATTTTCTGACACACAGGGAAGGTGTTTTTCAGGAGAAAAGCCGCCCCCGAGCTCCTGGCTGCCTCTCTGCCACACCAGTCCCTC